AGACAGACACACACACACACACACACCCACACACACACACACACACCCACACACGCACACACACACACGTGCACACACACACACACACACACAGTGATTACGGTTCATTCATGAGCGTCTGACCCCGTCACACACAGTGAGATGAAGTATGGTTACCTCTGTGAGGCCTGTGAGAAAATCTGCCTCAATCTACCTTCAGTTTCTCCATAAAACCTGCAGAGACACAAACACATTTACACTCTTATGACAATCAATACTAATCAAATACAAATATTAAATTTGATATTAAATGTTTTAGTTATATTTTCTAATATATATATATATATATATATATGTATATATAATACATGTATTATAAATATATAATATAGTTATAAAAATATAGTTTATATATACCGTGTATATATATTCAAGAAAATGTTACTTTTTATTGTTCTTTAGTCTGTTTTGATCATCAAGTTCAGTTTAGCTGAAATAAATATAAATACAGTTAAAAATATGATTTATTTTTTTGTACTTTGTTGTTGTTTTGATGATCATTTTCAGTTCAGCTGAAATATATATAAATATATATTTAAATTTTTTTTGACTTTTATTGTTTAGCTGTTATCCTTGTTTTGATGATCAAATGATTGATTATTTCAATATTGTGATTTATTGTTCTTTAGTTGGGTTGCTGTTGTTTTGGTGATCAGTTTAGATTGAGCTCAAATGTATATATACAGTATATATTGAATAAATGTGACTCTTATGTGTTGTTGGTATTGTCCCTGCACTGGGTCCTCTCACACACTTGCTCATGATCTCGGGGCCGTTGATGACACTCATGTGAGCTCCCACTTCATTGGCTACGGCTCGTCCAATCATGGTCTTCCCCGTGCCAGGCGGCCCATACAGCAGCAGCCCGCGAGGAGGCGGGATTCCTGCGCGACAGACACACGTCACATGAGCTCATTACCACACGTTTATTCTATCGAGTGGCGTCAGCAAGTAAAATAAATATTTAGCATTTCTAATGAACTTTCTGTGGGAATGAGTAAATAACGAGCCAAAAAGAGGAAAACAATCTGAGCTGATTTCACTTTTTTTGTCACGCCGATTAATGTTATATGTGAAAATATAATGTTATACTTTCATTTTTCATCTTAGTTTTTGTTTAACTTTTAGTAATTTTGTTATGCACCTTTGTCATTTTTATTTTATTTTAAATAGTTTATTTAATTTTAGGGGTTTTTTCAGTTTTAGTTGTATTTCAGTAAGTACTTTATTGTAATATTTTGAATAAAATTTTTTTTCGGTTTTCATTTTAAGTTAAGTCTACTTTTTGTCATTTTGTTATGTGCTTGTCATTTTTATTATTTATTTTGAAACAGTTTTATTGTTTTTTTCAGTTATAGTTTCACTTTAGTACTATTATATTCTTTAGTAATATTTTGAACTCACTTTTATATTTTCAGTATTATTTAGAATTTTAGTTTAATTTGTTAAATTTTTAAAGAATTTTGTTATGTGCTTTTGTCATTTTTATTAGTTTTTTTATTAATATTATAATTTCTAAACAGTTTTGTTTTAGTTTTATTTCGGTTTTAGCTTTAGTTAGTAATTTTAATAATGCTAATTTTAATCTAACATTTATATTTTATTTTACTTAATCTTTATTTCAATTAACAAAACTGTTTATAAGATTTTCACACTTAGTTAACAGTAACAACACTGACTCTCTATTCGGATCGCACTGATTCAAAGGACTGATGTGAGAAGTGAAGTTTAAAGGTCGAAGGTCAGAGGTCGGGCCGGCCGGATCTGACCTCTGACCTCACTCACCATAGTTTCTGAAGAGCTCCGGGTGTTTGAGTGGCAGCTCGATGGTCTCCCTGATGACCTGCAGCTGACCGCCAAGGCCGCCGATCATACTGTACATGACCTTTGACCCCTCGCCCCCCTCCTCGGACTCGTCCTGCTCGCCGGGGTCACACACGCTCAGTGTGGAGGAGCTGCAGACGGCGTAGAAGGTGTCCGTGGATGAGCGTCCGGACCGATCTGATGTCTCGGACGGGCTGAGAACCGGGTCACTCAGTTTACAGGGCGTAGAGACAGGGGTCAGAGGTGAGAGGACATGTGATGGGTCAGGGGTCAGAGGTGAGAGGTCATGTGATGGGTCAGGGGTCAGAGGTGAGGGGTCATGCGATCGGTCAGGGGTCAGAGGTGAGAGGTCATGTGATGGGTCAGGGGTCAGAGGTGAGGGGTCATGCGATCGGTCAGGGGTCAGAGGTGAGAGGTCATGTGATGGGTCAGGGGTCAGATGTGAGGGGTCATGCGATCGGTCAGGGGTCAGATGTGAGGGGTCACGTGATCGGTCAGGGGTCAGAGGTGAGGGGTCACGTGATCGGTCAGGGGTCAGAGGTGAGGGGTCATGTGATCGGTCAGGGGTCAGAGGTGAGGGGTCATGCGATTGGTCAGGGGTCAGAGGTGAGAGGTCATGTGATGGGTCAGGTGACCTCTGCTGGATGGACAGCTGCTCCAGCTGTGAGGAGAGATCGACAGCGACTCCGTCTGAGCGTCTCAGAGTCTCTCCATCGACACCCGTCACCGAATCCACAGCCAGAACACACTGACGCCCGAAATACGAGACGCACACAGAGCCACCCGGCAGCAGAACCCGGCCGTCTGAGAGAGAGAGAACCACGCTGTGAGCGTCTGAATATAACACCATCGCTCAAAGAGGCTTCGAGAAACCAAGCGTTTGTTACCCAGCGTCCGCAGGAGATAATTCCTGAACTCTTCTGTATTCAGCACTTTGTCTTCAGGCCTGTAAGATTTCATGTTTTACAACAGTGCTCTCATTATAACGTCATGTATATGACAGTAGTTATTAATGTTCTGCATTTCTGCTTTGAGCTGCGCGCGCTGAAGACGAGCAGTAGAGTGAAGCAGCAGGTTTGTATTCAGTGGGATTTAACTCATCATTTATCTCATATAGAATACGCTTCGTTATTTATACAACATAACGTTAATATTACGACTTATAGGCTATCTGCACAAAATGCTCCGAATGCACATGAACGTGTCTGCGCGGCTCTGAATGAACTCCTTTTGTGGACGTGTTCTTCACGCAACAACGTGCAGAAAAACGGCAACTAAACTCTAAAAATGCGTTTTATTATAATAGTGTTCTTATTATAATGTTATGTATAAGACAGCCCCAGTCACAGTTATTAATATTCTGCATTGTTGTTTGTCCTGCTCGCGCTGCGCACTAAAGAGATAATCCCCGTAGTACTACAAAGAAGTGCTTTACTTATTTAATTATTGAAAATATTGATAAAAAATTATAACAGTATCTCAATGACACTAAAGTAACCCTGTGTTTCAGGGGCCCGGGACACACTAGGGGGCCGTAAGATGGCTTAAATATTTTAAAATAAGACCAAACAAGCTTAAAAATTTGCTAAAACAGCTCAAATTAAATTAAGATGCAAACGGATATCATATTTATTATTTTAATTTGTCTGTCTGTAAACTGACATTTTTATTTTATTTTCACAGAAAAGCTGGATATACGAGATCATTTTAAAAGTGTGATGGGAAAACATCTCAAAACACAATGGAAATTAATAACATCTTAAAAAGTCATGGACATTTCTATAAAGAATATGTGTGTTACTATTTCTGCAAAGCTCTAAAAAAAATGTAACTGTGATTACAAGATGCTAGAAAAGCCATGCAAATGCATTAGAAATAAAGATGTAAACCCCGAAGAACATTTTTCCTTTTTTTGTTTGGAATTATATAATATTTTATTTAATTATGTCAATATACTGCCACTCCTAGTTTCTGTAAACACAGTTTTGAGAATTAGCAGCTTTGTCATTACAGCAGAAGTAGCTAAGATAACGAGAGGCCTCGGAGTCAAAAAGTCGAGAATCGCTGATTTTAGAACCACTTTCTAAATTTCCTGATTTCCGCTTTTGAACTTTCAAAGACTCTTGGCGCATTTACTTTCAGTAAGTGTATTACTGTCCACATGACTTTTGGGACGAGCCAAATTTCCCATCTGAGGTCATCAACGGCATGTCACAAATGTACTATTATGATATCTAGCTTTATCTAACTAACTAGTCGAATCACTGATCATCCCGGCCGAGTGTGTGCTCCTGCTCTCCGCCAGCAGATGGCGAGAGTGAGTCACAATCACCGCAGCGCTGAGCTAAACACCCGCTGACCGCTATTGCATCTGATCTGAATCGCCACACTGTGGCTGTGCTCGAAATGGCATACTTGCTTACTGCCAGTGCATACTGCCTACTATTTTTTAAAGAATAGTGTGTGAAACAGTATACAATAAGCAATAAATGTTTCAGAGTAGTATGCTTAAGTGCTGTCACGTGACAAACACTGAACATTAATTCAGCACAGCTGTCGAGGTCGTTACATTAGAAACAAATGAGCTAACTCTTCTTTTTACAAAGGCTTGTTAATACGGCTTCATACTAGCAAACAATGCTATATTGCCCAATTGAACTCATAATTGATTAACTTTACGCATTGGACAGAACTAAATCAACACTGAGCTGTCTTTATTGATATTTTTGGTAGTTACACTAAGTGGAAAAAGTGCTATATTCTAGTTACACTAAGTGCAAATAATGATCAATTCTGTTTACACTAAAATAGCAGCATTTTCTTTAGCAACAGGAGTGTAAATAGTAGTTAGGTGGCAGATATTTATACCTCAATGCTGTAGTACATTATAAAACAGTATGCAATAATATATTGAATGTAAATTATCATATACATATATAAATTGTATTAGATGAATGTCACTTTACTGGGACAAAAACCTACCTAAAGCATACACAACACTGTATTATTGAGGCGTTTTCTTTCCACTTTTCAAATATTTACTTAATTTTTATTGAAAATATATTTCTTTCTGATCTGGTATGTGATGGGAAAAGGAGAAGCACGAGCTCTCGAACTCGGGTCGACTGCGTCAAAAGCAAACAGCGCACGTGTTACTCGCTGCGCCACTGATACTTCAGAAACGCAGGTGTATTTTGCAGTGCTGTTAATCACAGCCAGGCTTTGGTGGGCGGAGCTAATGTAAATAGCCTCTGCCAACACATTGGTCTATTTGTCCTTTGAGTAATACACTCCATTTCTTTTTAGAGCTGCTTGACCGTGGAACTGAATTCTGTTTGCATAATTGAAATATATTTATTTATATATTATATTGCTGCAATATAATTTTAATAGAATCTGTACTGTATAAAGCGCTATAAATATAAAGGTGACGTCATTTGACGATCGGAAACGTGCTGTAGAGATTACAGTACAATTTATGTCCTACTAACTGTAGGTTAGGATAGGATACTGTTTTTAGATACACAGCGATAGTTTGTAGTTTACATGTATATGTATATACGTACATATACAAGTGTTACATTTATAATTACTATTCCCCACCTCCAGTTCACTCACTCATGTGTTTCACTCTACCTGAGCGTCAGCCGCAGGTGCTCGGCCTGTAGAAGGGGTCCGGTGATGGGCTGCACTGTGACCCGAGATCCAGACGTCACTCTCAGAGCGGACTGAGCGCTGGACTGAAGACCCACACGTCTGCCCGGAAACTGAGATACTGGCCACGCCACACACACCTGCACACAGAGAGAGAGAGAGAGAGAGAGAGAGAGAGAGAGAGTCAACACACTCATCACCTCCATTACCTGTGATAATCTCTCACACACACACACACACACACACACACACACACCTGCTGCTGTCCCATGCTGCTGGATATCAGGACCGGACTTCCGATGCAGATGTTCAGAGTCTTCATGGTGTTCACACTCATCTGAGCCAAATATGAACGCCAGCGCTGAGGGGCTTTATCTTCAGCTGCACACACACACAGACACAGACACACACACACACAGAGACACACACACACACACACACACACACACAGACAAACACAAACACACACACACAGAGACACAGACACAGACACACACACAAACACACACACACACACACACAGACACAAACACACAAACAGACACACACACACACACACAGACACACACAAACACACACACACAGAGAGACACAGACACACACACACAGAGACAAACACACACACACAGACAGAGACAAACACACACACACACACACAGACACACACAAACACACACACACAGAGACACAGAGACACAGACACACACAGACACACACACACACAGAGACAAACACACACACACAGACAAACACACAGACACACACACACAGAGACACAGACACACACACACAGACAGACACACACACACACACACACACAGACACACACAAACACACACACACAGAGAGACACAGACACACACACACAGAGACAAACACACACACACAGACAGAGACACACACACACACACACACACAGACACAGACAAACCCACACACAGAGACACAGACACACACACACAGACAGACACACACACACACACACACACAGACACAGAGACACAGACACACAGACACACACACACAGAGACAAACACACACACACACAGACAAACACACACACACATTTAGGATTAGTAAGAAAAAAATATTTTTATTCATCAAGGATTCATTAAATGGATCAAAAGTGCCAGTAAAGACAATGTCACAAAAGATTTATATTTCAAATAAATGCTGTTCTTTCGAACTTTCTATTCATCTGTGAATCCTGAAAAATAAAATATATCACGGTTTCCACAAAAATATTCCCTCTATTTTTTTTTTCTCTATTGGGGCGAACATTTCGGCCAGCTGAGCAAAAACACTCTTTACAGCAGACCTGTACAACACACACACACACACACACTCACTCACTCACACACTCACACACACACACACACACACCACACACACACACTCTCACACACACACACACACTCACACACACACACACACACACACACACACACACACACACACACCACGCGCTACTTCTAACTCTAGTGTGCTACTTATATTTGATTTGACGCTTGATGTAACTAAACCATGCACAGATATGACACAAGTCCTGAACGTTGACAAAGACAACCCAATCAAACAAATGAGACAAAAATATATACTTTGCCATTTATTTATTCTGGAGAATGCTGTAATATTACATATCTGTGAGAGCTCAATTGTTCATGTGTGAAAACAGTTTTAATGAATGCCTCGAGTGCACCTGTAACAGAACCCTGACTGCTGAGGCGGAGCATGTTTCTCTCGTTTATCGACTAATGCATGCAGCCGGTTCCCGGTAACGGTACCTCTCTCCGCGGAGTCTGTGACCGTGACTCCGCCGCTCGAGACGCTACAGTCCGCTTCATCACAGACTAACGCGGATCTGGATCTGTCTCCTTCTGCTGCACTCAGTCTCTTCTTCCCTTTGCCTTTGCCTTTGCTTGACGACATGATGCTCGATGTGTGTTAAACACACACACACACACACACACACACACACACACATGTGAACGCAAACTTCCCGGTGTGAAAGTTCAGCTCCTCCTCGTCAGATACCGTAAAATACACGATATACAGGCTTTACAAACCGCCCCGTTACTCAATACTCTTTTTATCTGTGTTTTTACTTATATCAATATTATATATATATTTATTCAAGTACCATAACTGAACCACTGACAAACTCCAAAGATTAAAATACATAAATAAGCAAACAAACAAATATGAGTATAAAATAAATAAATAATAATAAAAAAATGAGATTAAAAGAAATAAGTAAATTAATGAGTAAATAAAAATAAAAAATGGATTTGAAAGAATTAATATCAGATTAAAATTAAATAAGCAAATAAATTAGTAAATAAAAAATAAATAGAATCAAACAGATTAAACAAAAGTGCAAATTACAATAAAAATAAACATTAAAACAAACAAATAAATAAATACATTAAAAATAAGCAAATAGTCCAAATATATATTAACATAAATAAATAAACAGATTAAAACTAAAGAAATAAGTAAATAAATGAGTAACTAAAACTAAATAAATATAATAAAATTAGATTAAAAGTAATAAGTAGGCTAAATGAATGAGTAAATACAGATAAAATAGATTAAAATAAATAAACAAACCAAATTAGATTAAATAAACAAATAAGCAGATCAAATACGTAAATAAACACAAATAAGTAAACAGATTAAAATAAAAAAGTTAATAAAATAAATCGAAATAAGATTAAAATAATTGAGTACATAAATGAGTTAATGAACTGTAAATAAATACAGTATTATAACAGTACTGTAAGAGAAACAGGGAAACATGTATTTTATAATGATTGTTTATTGAATTAATATTTCACGTATAAATTGGGTTTTTATACAAGAACGCATATAGAGATCTTGGTGATTTTAGGATGGGGCCCCTCTCACGAGGATGCTGTTATGCGGGGCCCCTGAGTTATAGATGAAACGCCTCTGCATGGAAGCGGTTGTGTATTTGCATGCGCGAGTACTAGAGTAAATACGCGTTTGCTCGGCTGCTGCGGGAATAATCAGCATTAGCATGCACAGATAATACTGTAAATGACTGTACATGCGTGTTATGTATGCATGCGTGTATTCTCGTGTGTGTTCAAGCGCACAGCTGGGTTTCCACAAATCATATTACAGTGCAGCATTTTTCGATTTGATTTATTTATTGCTCACAAAATACATTGTCATCAATTTGTGTGACATTTTTAAATATAAATAAATGTCATAAATTTAAAAAAAAATTCTGTAGGCCTATATGTATATATTAATATATAAATTAGCATTAAAAAAAACAATAATTTATGTTAAAAATAGATATATTAATAAATATTGTATGAACATCGGATTAGTTGTAAGTACATCTGGATCACCAAAAAATAGTATTTGATAAAGTTCTTATTAATTTTATGTCATAATATGTTTTTATTTTATTTTTTACCAAATCTTTAAACTTTGCTTATTTACAGGATTAAATAAAAACATATTATAAACAAACAAACAAAAGGGACTACGGATGAAAAGTAGCCAGTGTTGGCTAAATCTGGCGCATTTTACATATTTGTGTATTATTAATGTGCATTGTCCCTGATTAAATACATAAATGTGTGAAACACACTGCTGAAGAAGTCTCTTCTGCTCACCAGAGCTGCAGTTATTTGATCAAACATACAGTAAAAATTGTGAAATATTATTATAAGTTAAAACAGCTGTTTTCTGTGTGAATATGTGTTAAACTGTAATGTATTTCTGTGATCAAAGCTGTATTTTCAGCATCATTCCTCCAGTCTTCAGTGTCACATGATCTTCAGAAATCAGTATAATATGCTGATCTGCTGCTCGAGAAACATTTCTGATTATTATCAATGTTGAAAACAGTCGTGCTGCACAATATTTTTGTGGAAACTGATGCATTTTATTTTTCAGGAATCACAGATGAATAGAGAGTTCAAAAGAACAGCGTTTATTTGAAAGAGGAGTCTTTTGTAACACATTATAAATGTCTTTGCTGACACTTTTGATCAATTGAATGCGTTCCTGATGAATAAAATGAATTTCTTTATCCTGATCCAAAACTTTTGAACTCTAGTGTAGCCTATATAACACATATTGACATGTCTCTCTCTCTCTCT